CTACTCAGGAGGCTGAGATCTGAGGATCCCGGTTCCAAGCCAGCCCGGGCAGGAAAGTTCATGAAACTCTTATCTCCAATAAAACCACCAGAGAACCGGAAATGGTGCTGTGGCTCAAGTGGTAGAGCGCTAACCTTGAGCTGAAGAGCTGAGGGACAGCGCCCAGGCCCAGAGTTCAGGCCCCATGACCAACAAAATAAAATAAAATAGGGAGGGACCCCGTTGGACCTATATCCAGCTACCAACTTCTGCGCCTCCTTCTGAACCAGGAAGTCTCCTCCTCCTCCCCCTCCTCCTCCTCTTCCCCCTCCTGTTCCTCTTCCCCCTTTTCCCTTCCTTTTCTTCCTTTCCCTCCTCCTCTTCTTTCTCTTGTTCCTGCCTCCTCCTCTTCTCATCCTCTTTCTCCTCCCTCCTCCTCCTCCTCCCTCTATTTCTTACTTGGAAAGCAAATGGACAAGACCTCAGAGGGCATAAGTCAGTCCTCCCTTCCAAGAGTCTTGATCATGTCTGTGTACCCACCCACCAGCCATTAAGCAGCTTGCCTCAGTTTCCCTGGTGTCTTCCTCTAACTTAAAAAGAAAAAAATAGAAAAACAACAAACCTTTGAGCCAGGCACCAATGGCTCACACCTGTCATCCCAACTACACAGGAGGCTGAGATCTGAAGATCGCGGTTCACAGCCAGCCTGGGCAGGAAAGTCTTTGAGATTCTTATCTCCAATGAACCACAAAAACCTGGAAGTGGTGCTGTGGCTCAAGTGGTAGAGCATCAGCCTTGAGCTGAAGAGCTGAGGGACAGCGCCCAGGCCTTGAGTTCAAGTCTCAGAACTGGAAAAAGAGAGGGGGGGAGAAAGGGAGAGAGAGAACTGGAAAAAGAGAGGGGGGGAGAAAGGGAGAGAGAGAGAGAGAGAGGGAGGGACAGAGGGAGGGAGGGAGGAATCTGGTTTTATGAAGCCCAATTAAACAGCAAGAAGTTGGAAGTGGAGGTGTGGCTCAAGTGGGAGAGCACCAGCCTTGAGCAAAAAATAAACAACAACAACAAAAAACTAAGGGGCAGATGCCCAGGCCCTGAGCACAAAAAAAGGAAGGAAGGAAGGAAGGAAGAAAAGAAGGAAGGAAG